TATATTAGATAAATGTGGTCTGACATTGAACTCTAAAATCTAAGTACAATACTGTAATTCCACTTGACATTGTAGAAAAGATATTGTAAACAAGATAATTGTTTAATTAGCCACTATGCATGATTGGAAGGATTGGACCATTGTGGGATATAAAAAGATTGTTCCCCAGCTTGTCTCCCCCAAATATATGTCAGTCCTAGGACACTGCTTGTCAAGCTATTCTTCCTGAAGGCATTCAGCCATCCAGAACAATCAGACTACTCTCTGGTCCACTGTAGGTGGGGTTCGCATACCCTATTGATAAGATAGTGATTGTTTCCCTGGAGAGCTTAGAACAGGTCAAACCTGCTCAGTGATATCCAAAGTTAGGCTGCTGTCCTGAATCTAGGATCTGTCAATATGTCACATGCATACCTCCAATCCCTCCCCTTCCTACTGCATGTATACCCTTCGATTTCCTCCTCTCATTACTGTATTACCTATAGACAACCCCTTCCTATGACGTGTATCTTTACCTGTAATCAGGGGGCTTATATACCCCCAAAAGATATATAAGCCTTGGTTAGAAATAAATCACTCTCTCCTGCCTTCCTCTCCTCCTGCTGAGGTAAGCATACGATCATGAAATGTGTCTGACTTCTTTGTTTTATGCTCTTTCCTATCTCTGTTATTCTCTATGACTTTATTATAATCTTTATATATTTAAACTGTACAATTGGGCTTACTGGACCCATGATAGTGTGAGGAGCTGGTTTCCCCACAAATGGCGCCCAACGTGAGGCATGAACCCACGACCCTGAGATTGAATCTCATGCTCTACCAACTGAGCTAGCCGGGCTTTCTGTTGATAACTTGGACAGGATAAGACATTCTAATCTCTAAGTCTCCTTCTGAAATCCCTCTTTCTACCCTTGAAAGTCAAGGGGCTTGAATTAGTTAATTGTGCCAGCCTGGCCGATAATCACATGTGGTGCTGGTTGAAAGGTGGAGGGATAAATGGGTGGTGAAGCCTCACCTTTCTAGTTCTCGGGTCTCTTGTTTTGTGATGGTCGCACCAGGGTGCAGCTGCCTTAGCAGTTCCCTGCTTCAGCTTGCAAGATTGACTTCCTCCAAGACATCCCCAAGGAGAAGCTGCATGGATCTATCCCGATGCAGCCCTGGGTGCTGGAGCAGCCGTGTGGAGACCCTTGCCAGGGCTGAGATGCTTACATGTTCACGGACTCAGCTTTCCTCCTGCAGTCGGCATCATTGCCTCTGTTTTGTGAGGTGGAAGACTTTGTGAACTGGTGTTGGGTTAATGGGTTAATGTTGGACTTGTGGGCTTGGGCAGCATTGGGTTGGGATGTTTTCGTGATGCACACTTTCTTTACATAAAACTCTCTCTTATACGTGAGTCGCCGTGGATTTGTTTCTCCAAAGTACCCAGAGTAATACAGGGCTTTTCTATACTTTGCCTCTGTGCTTCTATTTCCTGCACTGGTCTTCTTGACTCCTATATCTTGAAACTCCACTTCCCGAACTTCATCTTCTGTGTTAACGCTCTCAGTTTGCATTTCATTGGGTCTAATTATATCTCTCTCTCCCAAGCACTGACTTTCTTGATTATTTTGTGATACCTAGACATCTCTACACTATATTTTGGCAGTGGGCAGATGACTCCAGTCTGATGTCTCCTTTTTCAGGCTTAGTTTTCTCAGTTCTGTCTGAAATCTTCCAAACAGCCTGATACCCATTCTGCCTGCCTCTCACCAGATTTGTTTGGGTAGCTTATAGACTTCTTACTACTCTGCTAGCTTTCTTTCTTAGCTTTCTCTACCTTTGAAAGCAAGGGATCTTCTTGGCATTGTTTAATAGCCTCACTTTGGATCTTGGAATTCACTTCCTCTAGTGCTTTATCGCTTTTGAACCTTTGGAGGCTGCAAGCTTTTTTTGCCATTGGAATATCTTCCAAGTCAGCTTTCATTTCCCCCACTTCCTCATTTGTTTTTTGTCAACACAAAATTCCCTACTTGCAAAACTGCTATTGCTTTCTTCTGCTTTGACACAATCTTAAGTTTGAAACCAACTTTCTATGACCTGTGTTTTTGTTTTGATCCAGGATTAGAAAGTATTGGGATTCATTTCTAACGGGATTAAAAAAAAAAAGACTGAAAAAAGAATGCCATATCATAGCGATTGAATTCTCAAAATATACTGTAAGCCCTACTCCAAAAATAAACCCTATTTAAGTTCTTAAAAAGAGGTCAATTTACAGTAACAATGGTGGTGGCCGGGCAACTATACATATAAACAAGTAAAATCAATTGTCAGTAGAATGCAGTAAGACAGATAGACTTCACCACAGAAAACAGATACCCCCCAAAAGAACCGTACTCAAAAGAAACCAGGAGACCCAAAACATGCTGCATCATCAAGGGAGCTTATAGTAATTCAGGGTTTGGAGAGTTTGGTATGATAATATTCCAGAATGTGATCATGACTATGTTTGCATAGAGCAGCTTGTGTTAGGGCTCATACTATAAACACTGTGTTACTACAAGCGCTGCATTGCTACATATGCTGCCTTACCGCATGTACACAACACAGCTTTTATAGTTTGAGGCCTAACACAGGCTGATGATATTCCAGAATGTGAATAGAGCAGTTTGGATAGAGCAGCCTGGGTTAGGGCTCATAATATACAAGCTCCATTGTTTATGCACTGTATTATTGCATGCACCATGTTACTGCATATGCAGCATTACCGCATATGTATGGGAAGTTCTAACACAACACATGCAGTAACAGTGAATACACAATGCAGCATGTATATTATGAGCCCTAACACAGACTGCTCTATGCAAGCGTAGTCAACACTGGGTCCAGATAGTTGTTAATAAGAAAATAAAATATAAAATATAGCAGACTAAGTACTGTAAATAAATGTACTGTACATCCAAGACCAGAGATATACCGGTACTTGTATTCAGCAATGCTTGGGCGGAGCAACGGGGCGTGACCAAGCACACATAAGACTGTAAAGGCTACGTCATTGGTCACAGCCCTGGAGAAGAGTGAGAGAAGAGCAGCCGCATCCGACATTCATCTGACAAGGATGCGGTGCACCCCAGCTACAGCACACAGAAGCGGACGGGTTCTTGCCCAGTCTGGCACAGACAACAGAAAGGCTCCCGGCGTGCAGGAGGAAAGAAGAGCGGTGATATCAGCAGTCATCAGACCACCCACAGAGGTGGCAGGCACCTGCAGATGAGCGGGAGAGATTGGAGAACACCTGTACTGCACCGGAGAATAGGTAAGTGAGTTTGTCACTTGAATAAAAGACTAACGGAGCTTTTTCAGCATTAAAAATGTGCTGAAAAACTCGGCTTATACAAGAGTATATATGTAGGAACACAAAACTAGATTGCTATAAGAAAGAATGTTAAAATATGAATGAAAAATATTGAATAATGCTTGACAAAAAAACCCTGCTATTTAAGTTATTTCTATATTGCTTCTTGATTGGTATCCTCACTTGTAATATTCTTCACTTTTATCTGAGCAATGAAAGCTGTGATTTTATTCTGGTAGGAGTAAGCACCTATTCGTTTGGATTAGGCCATCTAAACTACAGTCATTGTGTTTGATATATAAGAAAAAGCGACTTCTCTTCTCTGTACATACTATGTTCATCTTTGAAAAACCCCTTTCCGCTTCTGCTGAACTTAGAGCAATTGTTCTGACAATGTTTTTAGCCCTTTGATCACTTTCAGGAATCATGTATTTTACTCAGAATATCATGTGTGAATTGGAAGGGTAACACAACGATAAAATGAATGTCCCTCTGGTTGTTTGGCTCTTTTTTTCTTTATCTTATGCTTGTTTACTGAAGTAACAAATCATGGGAATAAAAATGAAGTATTAGACTATAATGAGTTTATGAAATGAATAAACAAATATTACAAGAATAGTCTGTCTAAATTTTTATACCTATTGACTGAATGGGGAGGCCTGGAGGTGGAGTGTTACATTCAGCTGTGATCCGCATAGTCCAGCCTGCAGTTAAATGTGATGGAACATTGTGCTTCCACAGTTACAGTCTTAGATTGGAAGGCATGGCATGGAGGTCGTTTCTATGAGTTATCATTGACTCAATGGCAGTGAGTTGTTTGGTTTGGTTTGATGGACAAAATGAACATTATTAGGGACTCTTAGAATACATTGCTGTGCAGATGAATGTTAAATATGAGTAAGGAAGGTAAATTTGTGATTTCCACATTGGGTGACTGCCCAGCCACTCACTGTAGAAAGAACTTTGATTACAAGTGCCATTTTTAATAACTGGCTTGCTGAACTCAACAAAAAATTATGTATGGGTTCTGCCAAACTGGTGCGAACCACCTGAATCTCATCACTGAGGATAACTCGAAGTAAAGACTTATATTTCATTCTCTTTCAGATGACTCTAAGCTAAAGCTTTATTTGTTGTCCATCATCTGAATCTTCTGCAAAGCCATAAATATGTGGGGAATGAATGAGTCTATAAGTGCAATGAAACTTAAAATTGAGCTTTGTTATTACAGAAATGAACAACATGGGTAAAGGGAGACAGTGAAGGATGTAAGACGGAAATAATAATAATTTATAATTTATCCAGGGTTCACAAGGGTCAAAGGTGGGGGGGGGGAGAGGAGTTGATACAATGCGCTCAAGTAGAAAGAAAATGTTTTGAAAATGATGATGACAACAAATGTGTTTGATATAATCGATGTATGGATTGTTATGAGTTATAAGAGCCCCCAATAAGGTGATTTATTACCAAAAAAAAAAAAATGTTAAGATCTGTATGCACAAGGACTTATTGTGTCCTTGCCACATACTCAGAGTTTCAGCAGGTATCTGGCACCTGGGAAGTGATCAATGAATAAGTTTTGAATAAATCGTTAGAGTTCCAAAAAAGAAATATCCCCTGTTTGTATTCACTGAGGTTACGGCAAGTACTCCATATTACCAAATATTACCTGACTGAACGATGCACTGCTTCCCAAGCAGTTTGTTAACAGTACAATCCAGGCCATCAGGACAGAGACACTCTTCAAACAGGGAATTGCTTTCCACTAAAGACTGGATGCTCAGGTTACAGCTTAAGGAATCCTTCAGTTTGCAAGGGTTACCTGGATCTTGCAATTGAATACATAATATTCTGATTAGTCCAAGTGTAATTTTTAATCCCCTCCTCAAGGATTTTTAAAAGACAGTAGCCTGAGTAATTCATTCGTACATGAAGACTATCTGGAGGCGTCTGGTGGCATCATGGTTGTGTGTCGGGCTGCTAACCACAGGTCCCCGGTTCGAAATCAGCAGCTGCTCCTCAGGATGAAGACATGGCTCTCTCCTCTCAGAAATCCACAGGAGCAGTTCGATCCTGTTTGATAGGGTCACTATGAGTGGATATCAACTCAACAGTGGTGAGTTTGGGTTTTGGAGTCCATATGTGATGGTCAGATATAACGTCAATGTGAAAAAAGTGTGGGTGGAAGTCCAACCTCCCAATCAGAACACAGTCTAATAAAGGCTCCTTGGGGGTATACCGTTTATATGAGATGCTGGGGAGAATTTCTCTCTGTCTTGCCCCACTTGGCCTTCATGCCTCATTGGATTCTGTGTCTGACTTTGGAGCTGGCTGCCCATGAGGGCTTTTGTTGCCCTGTTATGAACCCGTAGACTTTGGATTCAACCTACTCTGCACCCACTCGCCTGTGATAGCCTGGCGTCCTGTGTCACCTTCTTGCTTTATCAGTAGGCAGAGCGACCATCTGACTCATGGACTTGCGTTGAACTGTGCTGGAGAGCTTTCTTCATATAAAATTCTTTCTTGATATACAGTTCTTATACATTTATGAGTGTCACTGTTTTTCATTCTCTAGAAAATTCAGCCTAACATATCATATAAGTGAAATTTTAAATATAAAAGTAAAAAGCAAAGAAACAAACAAACAAAAAACCTGCTACTGAACCAATTTTGACTCATAGCAACCCTATAGGACAGAGCAGAACTTATCCCTAGTGTTTCTGCAGCTGAAGCTATAAATCTTTAAGAACAGAGATTGCCTTGCCTTCCTCCTGCAGAGCTGAGGTGTGTTTGAACAATTAACCATAAGGTTAGCAGCCCAACATATAACTAAGCCACTAAGCCACCAGTACTCGGTTTTTAAGCATAGCACCTATTTTCATTCTGATTTTTTTTCAATTGGTTACTTTCTAAGATGAACCGATGCTTTTCACATTTAAAAATAATTCCCTGTCATACTTAGAATTTTTATTTTGTTGCTTTTCAAAAACAGTCAAGGTTACCATTATATAAGGGAACCAGGTTATTCTTACTATTGGGTTATTTTATTTGCTATTTCATCATCACTTGTTAGGTCATTTGACATATTTTCTAAATTATAGTAGAATATGTGCAGGTGGCTCTAAATTAATCTTGAGAACTAAATTGCTCCTCTATTAGAAAGCACTCAATAAAGTATTTACTGAATAAACAAACAAATCTTTTATAATCATGAATATATCTTTTTTGCATTAATTTAAAAAATGTATCTAACTGAAATGTTTTCTTTGATTCACTTTTCACAAAGGAAACTACTTTAAATTCTTTCATTCTGGTAGTTGAGGTTATTTCTATTTCAGCTTCATGCATAGAGTAATTATGCAAATCTTCAGTGCAATTTACTATAAATAATTTGCTATTTGTATACTTAAATATGTAAATAAGTTATAATTTATGAGACTTGAATATGTTATTTTTAAAAACACATGTTAAATTTGGCTTAGAAAATATAGAAAAGAACCTCAGCACTAAAGCAAATAACAAATTTTCAAATAACAGTGTTTTTAATAATTGACTTTCTCCTCATTTTAAACACAATGTATTATTTGAGCAAATCTTGCCCCTTTAACTCTTTTTTCTGAATAGTAGTATGAGTATCGATTTATATAGCCATATATATTGCATGTGCTTGCATGTGCTTGAGTATGAATATTGCATGTGCTTCAAGGGCAGAGAAGAGAATGAACTCCCTCTACTTCCAAATCCACAAACTCACTGCCAATGAGTTGGCCTCATGGTGATTCTATAGAACAGAGAACTGCCCCAAAGAGTGTCCAAGGATGTCAACGTTACAGAAGTACTGTCAAATTTTTTCCCCAAGAAGCCAACAGGGGTTTGGAATACCAACCTTTGGATTATCAGCCAAATACTTTAACCACTGCACCATCAAGGATCCTCTGCCTCCCTCCACATCCCATCTAAACCCTTGAGGTCAGGTTGTTGGTCAGGAATTCTTCCCTTGAAGACTGTGAACACTGGCATTGCTAGAACTTGTGGTTGTATATGGTTATACCATACTTGGGGAGAGGTAAAAGAAGCCCAGGCTGGGGACTTGAGAATTTCAGCATTTCCTTTTCATGGCATGGGGGAAGTAGCAGAAGGAGTCAAGGAATAATATATTTATACGTTTCCTTTTGTAATCTTCATACATATTTTCAGAATATTACAATTTTCATAATGCCAGATGTTTAAACTTATCTTATGTAGAATACTATCATGTTACGAGTTTTGAAATAGCAATGTAAGAGCAATTCGTCATTATATAACCAGTTTATCAAAAGAGCTCTGCTGGCATAGAGCTTAAGCACTTGGCTGCTGAGCAAAAGTTTGTCAGTTCAAACCTAATCAGTGGCTCCACAGGAAAAAAAATCTGGCAACTGCTCTTGTTATGACTATGTCTAAGAACATCCTATAGAAAAATTCTTTTCTGACATGTAAGATCACTATTCAACAGGATCAATGCAATGGCTTCTAACAACCACCACTAATTTATCTCTTAGTGAATGAAGTATGAAGATACTACCGTCATTCAGTTCTTATTAAGCTACTTGCTTCTCCAGGGCATCATAAATTGTCCCTTTTCTTTTCTTTTTAAAGAAATCTTTGTCTCTGCTCTTATTCTCCAACTCTTGAATTTCCCTTCGAATCCTTGCAGTAGAAAGTACAATAAAAATGAAGTTATGTTTGAACTTCTTGTCAAAATTGAAAGGAAAAATGATGTATATATAACAAGACTATAAATGCATTTAATACTCAAATAAATTCATCATGCCTTTGAAAATAACTGTAATACTACATGTTTTATGTCAACCTAACTGGGCCAGGATTCTCAGTGATTTGGCAATTAAGACTTAGTGATCTCCCATGCCCTGATCCAATACAGTGTAATCACAGCCCATCAGTTTTAAGCCTCTCTAATAGGATAAGGTTAAGGTCAAATGCAATGCCCTTTGTAAGGTCACAGCCCTGATAAAATTAAGCGCCTCGGGGATGTGGACTGCTTCCTGTATAGAAGAAGACTCTGTGAGAAAGCCTGTTTGCTTTTTGCTGCATCTGGATCCTGCATCTGACTCTACTTCTTCGGATTTGGGCCAATATCAGTGATATTGCCTACTGATCCCAGAAGTAAAAAAACTGCCATCTGACCTGCTGAGCTTAGGTTCATCACCTCTGCAGCTATAACCTAATCTACTAACCTGGGATTCCTCCTCCTATGCAGTCACTAGCCGGTGGTCTTCATGCTGATCATCTGTCCCCAGAATAGGCGAGTACAGAGAAGCCCCTAGACTAACATCTGACTCAGGAATTGGAAACTGCCTAGACTTAGACTTGCCAGCTTCTACAATCATTCGAGAAGTATTCATATAATCAGAGTATTATAAATGGGGGAATATTAAGAACGTAATCTGAAATCATGCAAAATGATCTCTTCAGTGTCAATACATGAGGAGCCTCAAGAGATTAATAATATCCATTTTGAAAATTTACTAATAAACTTTTGAAGATAAATAAAGTGAATATCAAATTCAAATACATTATTTAGAGCAAGACAAAATTCCTAGGACAATGAAATAAAATATTAAAGTTTATTTTTATCTATCGAAACAGAAATAATGTGAGTGATTTTTAAACAATTTGTTACCGGAAATCGTGCAGGCACCTTCTACATTCGTCCATGCATGTTTACATCCATTTGTATCACGCAGGCATTGCTCTCTTACATGGAAGCAATTCATGATTTGAGAAGTGGATCCATTTTTCAAACATAGTCCCACAGCTTGCAAAACAACAACAGAAATATTCAAAATTTCATTTATCTCAAATATAAGTTATTAATGGAAAGAAGAACTGTAAAAAACAAAGTAGGATGAAAAGCATTAGAAGGTGGGAATGAGTCATGACCTCTCCTCTAGTTATAAATCCATATTTTTCTTGCCTAAAATTCAGAAACGAAGTCTATATTTGCAATTTCTATTAACTTCTCATTCATCTTTAAATTTGTCTTTTACTTTTCTCACCATAGCTCCGTGGAAACTGCTCTCAACAACATCCACAATGATCTCTATCACATCAAGTTTAATAGTTTTAAGACTGTGTCACCATTGGAAGCATTGCTGACATTTTCTTTAAAATCTCTCTTATGCAACTTTCATTTCTGTTTCTCTTAGGACCTATCTAGTTAATAAGCCAATAAACCAAACAGCTGCCTTTGAGTCAATTCCAACTGCTGTGCTTCAAATTGGAACTGCACTCCATTGGGTTTACAGTGGCAGGAATCCTTGGCAAGTAGATCATCGGGTCTTTCCGGGAGTCTGCACCACCAACTTTTCCATTAGTAGCAACACACTTAACCTGCGACGTCTCACTTCTGTTACTTTCTGTCTATTATAGTATGGACTCACTTTCTCTTCCTTCAGTGTATAGATTTCGGTTGGACATCATCCATATATTTTTCTCATTCTCATCTTAAGCATTCTTTGTGAACAATTCCACACACTCTGATGGGTTTAACTGCCATCTATAGCCTGATGAAATTTTAAATGTAAATTCAATTCCAATGTTTTCTAATACTCAAGCCATATGCATAGCTAATTGTTATGTCCACCTACATGTCCATTCCATACAAACTTCCATACTATAAATTATTTTGACATTGGCCTCATAATTTAATCCCCCTGCCCAAACATCCAAATTCATCAGCAATTTCACCATTCACATCAGCGCATGCACACACACAACACACGCGCACAAAAAAATAGGTTCATGATAGATTTTTTTTCTACATCAGTCTCTCATATCCATTCATATACAGTTTACTGACTCTGGCACTTCGACTATTTGGTTAACTCAGTGGGTCAGGTCACCTGTGTTTCATCTTATTCAAATAGGTTCTTGATATTTCCGGATATCCTTGCTGTGACATTCTCCATCATTACTGTTTCTCTCCGTTGGGGCATTCCTTATAACCTGGCTCTCATCTTCCTAAGACGGTAATCATGGATGCTTTCCCAACTATGTTGTCCTAAACTTTCTGCTCTCTACTTGGGGCTGGTTTTGTTTTTCTTATGGAACAACCTCCTTCTATCATATCATTCTCAACACAATCATAAACTATTTAAAACAAAACTTTACTTGAACTCCGCTCTCCTTTCTCCACTTCAAACTTGCACTTAACACCCCTCATTTGTGTCTTTAGAACCTCTGTCATAGCTCACCTAAAAGGTTTACTGGTTTATAATTTATATAAATATATGTTTGACTCTACCACTATGTTCTAAAGTTTTATTAGGTAGGTATTGTATGTATATGCTGTTCATAATTTTAAGCCAGTACCCCAACACAATAATGTACTATAGCTATTAAATAGTGTGTATTATATGGCATTAAACTGCATACTGGTTTGGGGACTACTAAAAGATAAGGAGCTAACAAAGTTTAACTATAATAACATTTCCAATGATATTTACAATTCATTTTGGTTAGAAAAGAAAAGGTTCCAACAAAACTTAAAAAATAACAATGCTAATTTAGTGTGTTGTAGAAGTAACTCCAATTGACTCTGAAATTATGCAGGCTGAAATTAGTTTGATCATTTCATAGAAAAACATAGAGACCATAATTTAACTGAGACAATGTAGAAACTCTAATTACAAAACTTCAAATTATATCTTGATCAGATCCAAATTTATTGAATTTGGGAAGCAAGGAGACCTGTTAATTATGCTGACTTGTGCTAACAGAGTTTTAGGCTTCCAATAAAGCTTTAAAATCATTGCTTATTTCCTACCTTTCCAAACCCCTGAAAAGAGAATCCAAGGCAACTTTTTGGACTTTGTATTGCTTGGTGACTATTCTGTTTCTGTTTTAGGCTCATGCGTGTGCCTTAGTCTAATTTTTCTTATTGAAGCCTGGCGTGGAAATGGACATATCTGCTTTCTGTTTTACCATGTGCTCAATGAAAGCCACACAGGTTCAATTTCCTAAGATCTTAGATTTGCACACCAACAGAAGGAGAACAAGAGACCATTTTATGCTAACCTAAGTTTCCTTGGTTGAATCCAGCATGTCAAAGATGTGAAATCAGGATTTAATGCTATAAATTCAATATGTTTAAGTGTGGAGAACTGACATTTTAATTGCCATTAATCATTATATCTTGTTGTTATGCATTGAATTATGTCTCAAAAAAATATGTGTTCTAAATTCTAACACCTATACTTGTAGAAAGAATCCTACTTGACATTAGGGTTTTCTTTGTAGGTTACTAAGAATGAATCAGTGTGCAATATGTCTTAAACCACTTATAGAAATAAAAAGAGCATATTAGGCAAATACATATAGCAGAAGATAGATTGCATGCAACATGAAGATAATCGGAGAAACAGAAGTGGCAAAAAAACATGACGTCCACAGATTAAAAAAATAACCTTCTCTTAGTGCCAGTCCTTAATTTGGACTTCTGGCCTCCTGAACTTTGAGAAAATAAGCCTGCTAAAGATACCATTCATGATGTGTCTATTACAGCAACACTAGAAATGAAGGCCCCTGTATGGGTTATTGTAATCGGGGTAGGCTTTTACAGAGCATGTTAGTTTTCCATTCCACCGTGCATGCACATGTCGTGACACGCTCGTCACCTTTCCGTGTGTCAGTACACGTTTCCCTTCCCATGGTTCCCATTTCAATTCAGCCTTCTACCCTTCCCTCGTTTGGCCTTCTGAGCTTTGTTTCGGGGCAAACTTTGCCTATAGATTTCGTATCGTGGATTCTACTGAAGAATACAGTCCTCTTTATTCACTTTTTAGGCCAGTCTCATTCAGCACGAAGCTGATCCCTCAGGGTGAATTCAGCACTTGCTTTGAATCTCTTTCAAGGAATTTATAGTTCATGTTCTTCCGAAGAAATCATTAAAACCTCATTGGTACCTCACTGCAATAGTCATTAGAATTTTACTTATCCATTCAAAATTTATCTTCTTTACATTATTTTACTGTTATTGAAAAATCCATGCGGTTTAATATTTTACATATTTTTCACACCTTCCATTTGGCTAAAATGTTAGATTGAGGAAGAACTATCTCATTAATTTCTCCCACAAGAACCAACTCTAAAGCTTAAGCTTTTTAAAATCTGCCTTATTTGTTTTTAACTGTAATTTGTTACATGTATTTAATCCAGAACTTTTCATGGATTCCACTGAATAAGAGTTTCTATTTAAAAATAAAAATGAAGTATGCTATACATACTGTAAACAAAATTGAAGTATGCTACATTCCCCTCATACAGATGTAAAATGTGCTTCTTAGCATATTAATACTTCCCGGTATTAATTCCTCCCAAACACAGCAACATCTCATATGGTGTTAAACTAGAGTTCTGAAGAATTTACTGCGAAGCTATTAGTAAACATATTAAGCAGCATAATAAATTTGATCGAACAGGCTTAGAAATACCTTTTTTTGTCCCTCCAACAGTTATCCAGATTAAACCAGAAGTAAAAGATGAAAGCAGAAAGCTATTGTGTTTTTTATTGGATTCATAAAGAAGCTGTGGTTTATTTGTGTGTTGGTCAGTTTGTTAATTTTATTAATCTTTAATAAAAATTAAAGTTCCCTAGAAATATCTTTGTAATAAATGTAGCAATTTAAAAATTATTTTTTAAATATGGGAATGCCATTTGAAACATTGAAGAACTACTAATTAACCAAAAGAAAACTAGACGTATATAAAAAGATTCCTCTCTTTCTTGACATTTTTGGGGGCTTGATTTTTGTTTACTGTCATTTTATATTCATCCTAATTTGAAATATCTCCTTTGTTTTCTCACCCATAATTATACCCCCCTATCTATTACTATAATTTTAGAATAACTAGAAAATATGTTCCCTTTATTTTTAATCAGTGCATTATTAACAGTCAGTTTCTACTACAAATACTACCTTTCCTGAATTCAATATTTGGATTTGAACTAATATTTTAAAAGTTATAAATATTTATCTATACATTCTATTTTAGAAAAAAGAGAATTATTTTCCACCAAATTTACAAATTAATTTATGGTATTTTCTTCAAAAAAGGAGAAATTCACACTTGTTCACTAAATAAAAAACGTTTTGAAATGTGAAGCATTCGATGTAAATTATATAATTATATAAACTAAATGATGCTTAGTAAATATTTATCCTTTCAAATCAGTAGTACTAAGTGACTTTGCTTTATAATGGTTCAAGTTACTTTATTAAATTTCAGTGTAAAATAAAGAATACTTTGAAATTTGCCATCTTATAACTGGTAAATAGATATTGGAAGGTTTTACTTCTAGAAAACTCTAGTCCATATGTGATTTCTATTAATCCTACTAAGTAATTAGAATATTTGACACAATAAAACAGAAACAATCTGAATGATCATAGTATTACTGAATTAAGAATTTTCCACAAAGTTAGAAATAAATGAGTAAAAGCGAGTTAACCTTTTTAATCATTAACAAAGCATATTGAAGTATAGATTTGTAACTAGCACTATATATTATAAATCCCCGTTAGTTTCATCAATAACAAATTAGATGGAATAGTATTTGGTTTACCAAGAGTTACCATTATTCTGAACTCAGATAAACCATAAATACAGTTTACTTACCTAGGAAAATGAGAACTCTCATGCTGAGTGAGTTGAGGCTGGAAGAAAGCGCTGATGATCTACTTACTCCCACCACCTTCCTGGCAATGCCTGCCCGGAATCACATGCCGGCTTCTGCTCTGGCTTCCGGAGAGCACCGCTGATTCAAGTTAGCTTCATCTGCGACCATTTCCTCACCCATCCTTTCTGAGCTGTGGCCTTTCCTAATGATGTCCAAATTCAATTACTTTCTTTTGTGTGTACTGATTTCAGATGTTACCTTTCCAAAGAAAGGACAGAAGCCAAATGCTAAAGGAAGTGAAATATATACTCAGAGTGCTTTGTTTTCCATTTAGAATACTTAGCGGTGTAAAAGCCTCCTGAATGTTCCTCAAGGTTTAACTAGAGACTAAAGCATGCTCAATGTCCATCTCATTAAATAGTCTCATAAAGATCACACATGTCCTTAGCGGAGATGAAGGGGAAAAATATACAGGAAATAGAAGTTCCAGTAGAATTGAATTGACGTAATTCACCTTCCTAACCCAGGAAAATGATATGAATGGAAGAACAGTTGTTTAGCATAAAAATGAACCAGGAGACTTGGTGGTATGTAATCATTTGATTGTTATTGTTGTTGATAAGAAGCAACCTTATGCACAACAGAAGAAACCATTGCCTGTCCAGTGCCATCTCACAGGTATTACTGTTTGGGTCTTTTGTTCAGCCATTGCGCCAATCATCTTGTTGAGGGCCATCTTCCTTCTCACTGTTCCGAGCGTGATGCGCTACTCTAGGAATCGCCCTCTTTCAGGACCATATTCAAAGGAAGTGAGACAAAGTCTTGCCAACCTCACGCTTAAAGAGCATCTGACAGTACTTTTTCCATGAGAGTTCTGTTTGCTTTTCAGGTAATTACCAGTGCCATGATCCAAATACGTCCATTTTCAGATTGTCCTTTTCATTGTCCAGCTCTCACATACAGAGGAGATGATTAAACATCCCATGGCATAAGTCAGGCATACTTTAGTTGCCAAAATGGCATTTTTGGTTTTGAATACTTTAAATACTTTCACAGAAGAATTGTCCAATACAAGATGCAATTTTTAAATCTTGACTACTGCTTACATGAACACTGATTATGGATTCAAGTAAAATGAAATATTTGAAAACTTTAGTATTTTATCACCTTATCATGATGTTGTTTATTGCTTTATTTTTAAAATTTTTGATAATTTTATTGGGGGCTCATACACCTCTTATCACAATCTGTACATCCATCCATTGGGTCAAACACATTCGTACATTTGTTGCCATCATCATTTTCAAAACATTTTCTTTCTATTTGAGCCCTTGGGATAAGCTCCTCTTTTTTCCCCCTCCATCCCTCCCTCTTCCATCCTCCCTCACGAACTCGATAATTTATAAATTATTGTTATTTTTTCATGTCTTACACTGACTGATGTGTCCCTTCACCCACTTTTCTGTTGTCTGTCCCCCAGGGAGGGGTTTACGGCATAGCTTTTCAGGTCTTATCTATATCACTCTCCAGGGTACCGCTCGGCTTTCTTTTTGATCCTTTCGTCACAAGATCTCCTAGCTCTGCCCATCCTATCCTTGTGCATGTTCTGTTGTGTGAGGTAGAGTCGATTCTGACTCATCATGACCCCATAGGACAGAGTAAAACTGCCCTCACATGGGATTGTTTTAGTTTTCTGGCAGGGGGCTGAGGAGGCTGTAATCTTTGGAGTAGTGGGTATGCATTGGTTCAAAACCACCAGCTTCACCGTAGGAGCAAGGTGGGCCCTTTTACTCCTGTCAGCGGTGACAGTCTCAGACACTCACTGGGACAGTTCCACCCTGACCTCTAGGGTGGCGCTGTGAGCAGTCTTGGCTTCATGGCAGTGGATTTGGGTTTCGGTTCATCTTTACTGGGGAGGATCTCTGTGTCTTTCTCCAGCTCAGCTGCTGGAGGATTTGAACCTCTAGCCTTTAGGTTAGCAGCCAAGTGCTTAAAGGTTACATTATCACTTCTCTAAGGTTCTTCTTTAGTGTACGCATCTTCTGGCTTTGTTGTTGTTGTTTGCGTGTTTTGTTTGACTCTGTCCATGTTCCTTCAGACCTACTACCCACGGACAGGGTTTCAGCTGCTCTTGTAATTGTGTTGCTGCCCTGGGTAATGTTCCCTTTACTTTCAGCTCGGACTTCTTCCTCGGGCGTCACCTCTACCTAAGTCTCCTACATGTTGATTTCGATCACTCAAAATCAAATGACTTGTCTTCCTGGTTAAGCCTGTTCTTTCTTTCTCTATTCCCAACCTCATGTGTCACGACCATTCACCACATGCAATTAACCATCAAGCTGTTCTTCGTTTAGCTTCTGGATGATTCCCAAGTATTCATTCTTTTTACTCCTTCTTTACATACTTCTATTACTAATGGGCACTCTAATTATCTTCCATCTGCGTGATGCTAACAACCAAACTGGCCTAGTTATCCTCCTTTGAGGCCATTCAGCCAGTAAATGTGTCTATCAAAAGCCTGAGCTGAACCGTCAGTATTCCCTGGAACCAGAAAGCATCAGAGTCCCTTGTTAAGTGCTTCAAACTGTCCGCCACCTCCTCACATGACTAGCCTGGCCCTTGAGACTCTCGGAGCTACTCTATGCAGATTCCTCTGCCTCTCTGCATTGTCTTGCAGGGCCCCGTCTCCCGTCTCCAGCTTGGCTCCCTCCTACCTTTCTACTGAAGTTTAAGTCATAATGAACTATTGAATCTTCATCAGCAAGTGCTCTTCACTTTCAGCAAGCAAAGTTGTACCCTTTGTGTATATCAAGTTGTTAAGGTCTTCTTCCAGTACTGATACCTTTTTATTTTTTATATGTTCCATCTCTTCAGGTTATCTTCTAAGAATACATTGAATGAATAGGATGAAATGATAGACACCCTTTCAGATTTTAAACCATGTCATATCCATGAGTTTTGTTTGAAAGATTGCCTCTTGGTCGATGTATAGGTTCTGCATGATTCTACGCATAGGTTCAACACAATCAGTAATCCTGTAATTCACATTATTTGCAGTGTATTCATAATGCATTATCAACCACACAGTCAGATGCCTTTGTATACTTAATACAACACAGGTAGACATCTTTTTTGGTATTTTCTGGTTTCTACCAAGATCTATGTAACATTAGCAATTACATTCTCTGTTACACATCAATGGTGATTAGAGAATGAGATTGGTGTTTTCAAAATAAAGTTAATTTGGGCCAAAAAATAAAGTATGTGCTGTGTACACTCACTGTGGTAAAGTGAACTTACATATTTACAGCTCTTCTATGGAGGTGTTTGTAACTCCCTCCAGATGATTGGATGGACTGTGTAAATGAGATGTGTGAAAGTGATTAGTCAGTCCTGCTAGTCCATTATGGGTATTAGAGATCCAGTTCAGATGTATGGTGCAAGAGAAGGCCAGGACCCAGATGGCCTAGCAGCAGAAATCATGAGATGTCCCTGTGTAAAGTGGTGAAAACAGCCGAAGCACCAAAGGCCACAGAACTAAGACAGTGAGACACAGCTGAGGAGTCTCCCTGAGCGTGAGGCACAGTGGCGGGCTTCCCAGGCACAGAACAAATAAAAGGGAGTGCCTTACTTGCCACAGAACTGTAGAGTGGCCTTTGGGCATTTATTCTAGTGGTATCGTGGATTACACATCAGGTTGCGAACCACCAGGTCAGGTGTTCGAGCTATTCCTCAGGAGAAAGATGATATTTTCTGTTCTTAAAGATTTACAGGCTTGGAAATCCACGTGGGCAGTTGTTCCCTGTCCTATAGGGAAACTCTGAGTCAGAATGCACTTGATAGCAATGTGTTTGTTTTTGGGAAGGCCTTAATGTAGCCTATTAACTTCTCTATTAAACCCCCATAGCCAAGAACATGATGTGCAATAATAGATTATCGCACCCAGCAAAGTAGAGTGCCATGGCAGAGATGGTTGGGGCAAGAACAGGGCACAGAAGGATGGAGGGTGAAGGCAGGCCTCACTACTGTCCTGGGGCCTCCGCCCTGGCAGCTGGACTCTCCTGCCTGCTGAAGCTGGAGGATGGTAAGTGTGGCACCGATGTCATTCTCTCACTCAAGCAATCTAGAGTGTATTCATCATGGAAGAGATGCTCTAGAGGGAGAAAGAATCGGGAGAAAATAAAACAAAAATTGGGTTTGGGGAAAACTGGTATATAATCATTATTTTAAAATTTATTCAAGAGGTACTGTTTTCTATGTCTACGCCATTGTTCTCAGCATCAGTAAATCCACAGTAAACAAGACAAGATGGTTGGGAGCTTACTTTGGATTGTTGTAGGGTACTTCAGGAAAGAAGCCTCCTTTGCACTCACCCCAAATTGCTACAGGCTTCCTTGTGAATTGAGTGAAATGACTCCACACCTTTCATGGTGCCCTTTGTTTTCCATAATGAAGTATAAGTGCCAGAAGAAATGAAAATTTTAGTTGATATTAGATCCATGGCCGATGATTCTAGACTGTAGAACACTCCCCTTAGCATCATCTATACAATGCACACATGGGCTAGTGATAGGATGTGAATAAAAATTGGTGTTCATATACTAGTGAATTCAGGAACACCCATAGTAAATACTCAGAGAGGGTAGTGGGAAAATATTGATGATGTTTCCATAATGATATTTTTAGAAAGCTAAGCAAATTCATTATATGATTAGCCAAAAAACTGCTAAAATATATGAGGCTCTCATAGGCAGTGTTGTCAATATCTCTGTGTTTTGTGACATAAAAGAGAAACAAGAAATGTAGAGGATATAGGAATCCTGTTCCTAAGCTTTCTTACATTTTGTGTTATCTCTCTCAATTACCTCCCAAAGACAGTGTAAGTCATTCTTAGAAAAGGGAAGGGTCAATATGAGCTAGGGGTGTGTGTGGAGGGGGCAGGGGAGGGGGGGAACAGGCATCTTTGATGTATGGATTATTACAAGAGCTATAAGAGCCCTCAATAAAATTATTTATAAAAA